GCGCGGTCCCTTCGCCCCTTACCCCCAGAAGAGCCCATTCCCTTCTCACGAACACTCGCTGAGACTTTGGCCCCCCGTCTTCCCCCCAGGTTACTAGTGCTACTAGTCTTCCCAGGTCAAAAGGTCCAGTCGGGTCTGAAGTAGCCACAGGGGCACTCCGGGTTTTTTCAGAGACCTTATCTGTCCCGCGTGGCAAAAAAAAAAAAAAAAAAAAAAAAAAAAAAAGAAAAAAATTTCACTTGTTTGCTTGCTTCTTGTATTACTCTGCACATTGTACCTCTCAAGACTAGGAGAGGCACACCCTATTCTTTTCTGTAGAAATCTTCAGACCAGAAATTGTACCTCCGGTATGACTTTTAAATGCCAAGACACTACACAAAACATTACATTCATATGTTGTGGAGATGGTCAAAACTACCTTTATTGTGGCAAAAATTCACTATTTCACTCACGCAGAATATCATACAGAAGATACCAAAAATGCTACGGGGACACCAGATGATTTAAGAAATAGTAACGGGTTCTAGGTCCATTCAGACACATGAGATGAGCCCTTCAACCCAAGTAGGTAAAAACAGGAGTACCTTCCTGAGACATCTGCAAGCTGGTTACTGCCCTCAACCTAGCCCCAGTTGGTTTATTGATAGAGAGAAAGAATAACAAAGGATGTCCCAAGTGTTAAAAGGTCAGAGCAGTAAAGGATGAATAAGAAATACATTTGACCCTTACAGTGCAAGGATATTATACCTGTGAACTCAACTTACCATGGCAAAGATTTAGCATAGGCTTACCCTCCTTTGATCTAGAGGAAATGCTTCCACTATAGAAGAGCTGAGCTTTTTACATGGGCTATGGCATTAGTTGGGGTGGGGGACACTGTAAAATGGGTAAGCTCTACTTTTCCTCACTGGTGTTGTAAAAACCACAATCAATAGTCTTTGGTGTGAACGGTATATAAATTGTCTCAGTATTCCTTTTTAAATCCAAAAGCCCTGTATTTCATTATCAGGCCTTTTGTAAAACATCAGGTGAGGCTGAGGACACTGCCATGTCTGCTCATTCAAAGGTGGGTTGGGAGACAACTTCTCCCTCCCAACATGTCAGAGTCTGCCAAATCTAAGCTCTGCTCAAATTCAGAAAGATAGAGGAGTTTCTGTCCTTGCAAGTCATGAAGCTCCTTAAAGTCAGGAATGTCAGGTTTGTCACACCTAAATATCTGTGAATTACAACTGGTTATTCCTTTCAGTCACTAAATCCAAATTCAGGGAAATAGGGATTTTACTGTCTTCCTTCTTTATCCCTTTCCATAGAGGGGTCCCTAAATGGCAGGACTCAGGAGGAAATGAGTGTGAACTAAAGAGTCCTGGGCCTGAATCATGGCTTTGCCACTGTCTATCAGGTCAACTTGTCAAGAGTCTTGATTTCGTCCTGCCCTATGTATTCACCAAAAAGGTTATTAAGAGAGCAGTATGTTTAAGAATTCATTCTTCCCAATATGCCTGCCATTCAGGGATATGCTCGATATTAGCAGAACCGGAGCGATGGGTCTCTGGAAAGATCACCTGGACGACTTTCAGTGTAAGCCTCCCTAGGTATGTCCTCCTGGGGTAGGTGCAACGCCTAACTTTAAGCTGTTGTGAAAAGATCTGAACAGACTCAACGTTTTCGGGTGGGGGGGCGGTACAACCCTAAAAAGCCATTAGAATGGGACTCAACTGCAGGCAAGGAACTCTGGTGAGGCTTCCCTTACTTCCCCCAGGGCAGAGGGGTAAAAAGCAGTGCCAGATCTCAGTCCTCCACAGGAGAGGCCTTAATAGTAAACGCCTCCCTCTGGGCGGGCAAAGAGCAAGACCTCCCCGCTCCTCAGCTCCTTCCAGAAGTGGGGACAGCACCTCTGCCCTTTCTCCCGGTGCACGTCCTAGGCCTTAGAGGAGGCAAGAGTGTGTGGGTGCCTGTGTGTGTGGCAGGGGATCCTCGCGTTTCTGGAGGTGCATCGCAATGACTTCAGAACCCGTCTGAGCACTCTTGCTGCAGCAGCACCAGCTGGCATCTCCTCTCCTTGCCCTGGCAGAGCAGGCAGGGCGCGTGCCCGCTGAGCAGTCCCAAAAGCACACCTATTGGAAGGTCCTCCCCCCACTTCCATCCCAGCAGAGTCTCGCCCCCGCCTGGCCAAAGTCCCCTCCTGGGACCAGCCCCAGAGAAGCTCAGCGAGGAAGAATCTGCTCTCTGAGACCCCTCAACCCCTTAACCACCCCCTTCATTTCACACTGAGAGAGGGGAGACGAGAACAGGAAGCCAAGACCACTTCGTGTAGAGCTTCCCCAAATGTGTCGCGCTTCCAATTATGCGCATAATATCCCCTCAACTTACTGGCATTTCCACTCCGCAGGGCAGCTCTGCTGAAAGCCAAGGAGCAGGGCCCCACAAAAATCCCGCTACCCTGCTGCCCACCCAACTCTTGCCCCAGGGCGCCGCCGCTGGACACGGCATGTTCCGCCCGTGCAAGTCTCTGTTTTCCCAGAGCAGAACCGGGTCAGTGGGTTTCGGAAGTTTCCCACCTCCCTCTCCAGCCCTGTTCCGAGAGTCCTCACGCGCACCCCGCGCTGGGCGAGGAAGCGGGGAGTTAGCCCCTCAATCTGCGCTCAAACCGGCCCTTCCCTCTCCCCGGCCCCCCACCTCGTCCCTTCCCTCCAGCTCCAGTCCCCGCGTCCTCAGAGTCTCTGGCGCGCAGCGGTTCTCTCGCCCGCGAGCAAACTTCTTTCTGGGCTACACTCGGGTCCGAGCAAAAACCTCTGCCCTTCCCCGCCGACACAGGGGCGCGCTCACCTCACCCCTTACCCCCAGAAGAGCTCATTCCCTTCTCACGAACACTCGCTGAGACTTTGTCCCCCCGTCTCCCCCAG